CCTAGATAGGATTTCACTGAGTGAGTGAATGTTGGGAGCATATAATCTTGGGGAACATATAAAACATACATGACTCGTGCTTTCGATTACAATTTGACGCCTAATTTAGTTTCATTTGAAATTTTTCTCTAAAAATCACCTTGGCATGAAATTTGGAGCATCGCCACTTTTTGCAAAGGTGTACCAAACCAAAAAATACTTATATTTTTCATAATAAAATAACAAAAAAACCCTTGAAAGTTTTTTAAGCATTTTGGTTTTTTTTTAATAAAATATGTTCTTTCCTTTTTTTTTATTAGGAGCACACAAGGGAGGAAGAGCGCCCCAAATTTCATCTAATCCATAACATTACGATTGAAGCTATCTCAACCATTCATTCATATCGAACAACTTAGAATTGCTGCCGGATATATTTCATGCACAGGCAGCCACACTTTTCCCCATTTTTAAATCTCTTTATTGACCGGGCCTTTTGCAACAAGAAACTCTAGAGTACGAGTTTCTTTGCTCGATTTTAGTTCACATGTCCCAATTTTTTTGGGGGTGATTGTTAGTAAAGAATTGTGATATTCTAAAAATTTGTTTCATTTTTAAAAAATTTAAATTGGTATTTCATTAGGGGTTATTTGGTTCATTGAGAAATTAACTTTTAATTAATATCTAACAAAAAAATTTATAAAGTCGATGAGTCAATTCCACTAATATTTAGGGATATTTGCAATTTTATTTTGAAAAATTAATAGGTGTTCTTGTACCCTTTTTATGTCAGCAAATTTAAATGGTTGCGTTATTTATACCACATCAATTATCATCACAATAATCTGAATTTTGGTAATTTAGATTCCTGAATTTGGAGCTCCAACACAATGTGCATTCTCTTAGAGTGTATGGGCGTCGGTAGTATGGCGATGTGGTAAGCATTTCACCCTTGGTATTTCTGTTCCTATTATGTTAAGAAGTTGATTAGTTTTCATATTTAAACCAAATGGCCCTCTTAATATTTGGATTTCTATTTTTTTTAACAACAATTTGGTTTTTATGAGAAGGGCGAAATAGGATAATACTTCAAGCAAGGTCTACAAGAAGGGGACAAATTGTTAAGATAATTTCTTCGCACATTAAGAAGATGGCATATGCGAAAAGTGGGTTTTTCATTTGTCAAAGAGAGCAATCATTGATAATTTATAGATCACATGGCATCAACAGAAACTCAGATCAATTATTTTAGTGGCTTGTTCTTTCCCTTAGCCCCAGAATTTCAAGTTGAATATTGATGGAGCTTCTTTGCAGAACCCAGGTTTAACAGGTGATGGCGGTGTTATAAGAGATAGCGATGTTGCTTTTGTAGTTGCCTTTGCTAAATCATTTGGTACTGCCTTTAACAATTACACAGAATTTCTTGCTCTTGAAAAATAACTTCATCTGGCGAATCAGTTGAAGTGCTTTTCTCTCTAAGTGGAAAGCGATTCATCCTTACTGGTGAATGTCATTCATAATTGTTGACATGCCCCTTGGAGGTTACATACGGTTGCAGCTAATTGTCAAAGCAAACTTTCCACTCGTACATGATCGATTTCCCATATTTTTCGTGAAGTCAATATAGTAATCGATGCCCTTGCTAAGAAAACTTCTTTTAGTTATGAAGCTACTAATTGGCACTTTAAACTGTCGGACTTTATTTCTTTGTTTTTACTTCATGATTTGGCACAACTACCCTATTATATGATTGTAAAATAATGACTTTCTCCTTTTTATTTTATTAATGGAAAACGGGTAGATGACCTTATCCCCCACTGACTTACCCAAAAAAAAAAAGCATATGATGATCTATGAATATTGAAGAATATGGAAGGCAATTGGGTGGGGTTGACTAGCCGATTCGACAGGTTGACGCAATATTGGTTCAGGTCCAGACCATGTGTTGTTGGTTCCAAGTCCAAATGACCTGAACTTGACTTATGTCTAGTTTGGATCCAGTTCCATCCCAGACTTTATTGAGTCAGGTTCAATCAGGTAGGTCCTGGTCAAAGATCAAATCAACTTGACTAAACCCGATATTTATATATAGTGCAAACTCCACCATGTCTGATTCCAAGCTAGTTACGCAAGCCTGGATAAAGGAGGAGGGTTTTGTAAGGTAGGGTAGTGAATATAAAACTTTGCCACATCTTTTTATGAATCCTGAACATGGTGGAACATGATTCATATATCGTACCCCAAATAATTGGGATTAGGCTCTGATGATGATGATTCATGATCATGTGAACCATTTTATAAGGATTGTATACTAGGAAACCATTTATCTTTCTTATAAAGAGTTCACAATTACTCCTAGCCATTAAAAGTCAAATTGGATTGTTTGGTGTTTGTCAGGAAAATCGATTTTTTTTAATGACATTCCTCACAACCACCCAATATGAAATATAAAAGTCAAGAGTGATTGTGGCATCCTTGCCCTGAGGTAAATAGCCTCATCATATACAATCTCATATCATAATTCTAGTGTCATAAATTCTTCATCATGACCTACAAATCTATTTTCAACCGGACCATATAATTTGAAGCTAAAAAAATAGTACAGATTTAGCATATTTATAAAGCCTTTTAAATAAATAATCTTGAAAGCTTATTGCAAGATGGACCATTTTTAAAGCTTGATTTATATTTTCTTCGAGAGCCATGATCCTCCATACGGAAATTCTATGCTAGAATTGTGCGCCATTAGGGAAACCTAAGGTGTACGAAAAACGTTGTTTTATCTAGAAATGGAAAAAATTTGTGTAAGGCATCAAATTTATAGAAGTGAGGCACAACTCAAAAATTTATTGCAAAAGGTTGTTTGAAATACCCTCGAATTGATGATTTTGATTTCAATATATATGAACATGAAAAAGAAAAAGATTTCAAGCCATAAAAATAATATATCTCGTAGTAAATTATTTAGACTACCTATTTTCAAGAGATTTTCTAGTGGTTGTAGATCTGCTAGATATGCATGATATTTGGAGCTTTAAATTTCATGATTAGGGATGGAACAGATTTTTCAAATCGTCGTAAGAGTTTCTTACACGGGAATTGTATCTTCTGGTTGGGCTTAAAGGTGAGTCTTACTTTTGATTGTTTAAGATGGCACCTAATATACACTGCACCTTTTAAAAATAAGGTGTGGTTTCTATAAGGTTGAGCCCTAAACAATCAAATTAAGGCGTGCCTTTTTGTATCGAAAGATGATTTTTCAATAGCAAAAATATTTGTGACGGGCTAAAAATATATTTTCATCTTTATAATCATTTAAAGTAAAAATAGGGTTAATAGAGAAGATCTATAAATACTTTAAAATATTGAAAATTGACAGCCAAGATAATGCATGACAAGATGCACTATTTCTCAAATATGAAATCTATTTTCTTTCATGTCTATACATCTTGAGGTCGAGATGATTGATTTGAGAGTTTTTTTTTTCATCAAAACAACCTCTCCTCGTGAGTTTTTTAGGTCTACCTTAATTTGATTGTTTAAGGCCTCAATCCTATAAAAACTTTTTGCATAAAAATATATAGTATTTTAAAAGATCTTATAACAAGGAAAGTGTTAAATACAATGCCAGTCTTACGTTTGCTTCCCCGAGGCATACACGATCGATCCCAAAGATCAATGTAAATGGTGGCCCCTCCAAGAGAATTAAAACTAATGGGTCTAAATATTTTTTTCAAAAATTATCATTTTTAGTTTCTTTTAAAATTTATTTTTACATAATTAGTATTCCTTAAAAATTAGGGCTAAAAATCATTGAAAAAAGGAAAAGTTTATATAGAGCTTAGGCTCTAAATAATCAAATTAGAGTCTACCTCAAAAATTTAACTAGAAGAGGTTGTTTTGATATCCAAATATTCTCAAATTGATCATCTCGACATCAAGATACATGGACTTGAAAAAAAAATGGATTTCAAGTTTTGAAAATAATACATCTTGTAACGTATTTTTTTACCGTGAATTTTTAAGTTATTCAAGTTTTCATTGATCTACTCGATCTACACTATTTTTTAAACTTTAAATTTTATAATTAAAGATAAAAATATATTTTAAAGCTAATCAAATATTTTTCATACTAAAACCATATTTTTCGAGACTATTTGAAAGTGGGCTCTAATTTGATTGTTAGAGCCTCGGCTCTATACAAACCTCACCCTTTGACAAATGGATTATTAAGCGGGCGCATGTATAGTCTGGAGACTTCTAGAAACACCTTCCATAATTAAAAAATTTCTATAGTTTTATTAACAAAAAATCCCATCGTTTTAAGTGAATTCATGCTTATTCATTCCTAAATTCTGGATAAAAAGCATCAAAATTATGCATATTATCCTATCAAAACCAAACCGACAAAATATAATCGTTGCATAACTTCGCTTAATTCCGTGTTATCCAACTCTTCTATATTGCTATTTAACGTATACTTTCATCTAAAATTATTTGGGATTAATTAGTTGGCTGTGTAGCATGCACCCTTGGAGCATAGTGTACGCTAAATCCTTCAAGAGAAACAAATAGTTCGGAGAAGTCTTTCGATTTAAAATTTTAAGATCGACTGATGATCATAGGATGATTATCATTTAAATTTTGAGTTCTCAAACGACTACATCTAACTGTAAAAATTTGAACCGTCTCCATTCATTCAGGCCAAATAACTCAGTTTTGTAAGATCTGCACATTTGATCATAGACAATTTGAAATCTTTTTATTTTTCCTTGCATAACTCGCTCGATTAAAAAGCTACATCCTCAAAATTTGAGTTACTAAACTACCTGTAGATTGAATTTTAACTCGAAAGAACAAATGGACAACAAGCTCCCGCGGGAGCAGGAAAACATATGGTAGGAACTCTAACAATGAGGGCATTATCGCAACTCGTCGGAAAACCGGGGCTATTATCGTCATAAAAACCTTATATAAACCAGCTCACATTGAATAATATATATGCTGTTATATTTAGAGAGAGAGAGAGAGAGAGAGGGGAGGCCCTATAGAAGAAGAATCACTGTAAAAAAAGGAATAGAGTGAAAGTATAAGAAGAGAAAGAAAGAGAAGGAAAAGGGTTCTTTCTGCAGAGAAAGAGAAAGGAAGAAATGGGTAAAGATTCATGCAGGAAGTGCTCTCATTGTGGAAACAATGGCCACAATTCAAGGACTTGTAGTGAGAGAGAGAGAGGATTGAAGCTCTTTGGTGTTAGGATTTCAACCAATGGAGAAGGGATGAGAAAGAGTTTGAGCATGGTGAATTTGGCTAGCTTAGATGGCTTAAACCAGGAAGATGGAGGGTCTGGAGATCAGGGGATTATGAGAAAGAGTCAAAGCATGGGGAATTTGATTAATGGCGATGAAAATGGGAAGGGTCATGAGAGGAAAAAGAAAGGTATGCATGTTGCAGAAATCATGTTCTTTTTTATTTTATTTTCTTATTAGTTTCTCTCTAACAAATTCATTTTCTTTTGGTCTATTTTTCTTTTTTATTGGGTTTTTTTTTTTTGCTCTCTCTCTCTCT